GGTCCAGCCCTCTTCTTTTGATCAAAATCAGTCCAAAAACTCAAGAATCAACCCTCAAAGTGACTCAATCTCGGAGCAAGGTGTAATGGTGTGTGTATTAGTGCAAAAGTAAGGTAAAATCACACTTTTAGGCCAAGAGTCTACCATCATAAGCAGGTAAATAAAAGGGAAGAAAGACGTGAGGTTGGAAGACATACACACACTCACGCACACTTATTACACAATTGCCCTCACTCGGAGGGTCCAAATGAATATTACAGTCCGAATAATAAACAAATAAATTATTACAGAATTTCTAATTTACTTAACAAAATGAATGCAAAAGGAAGAAAGGTGGCCACAGCCCCGCCTCGGGATGCGCGAGTGATGCATACTCGAACCCGTCTCGTCCGGAAAGCCCGTACCATACCATTGCTGCCTCTGTTTTCACTGCCTTGCTTCTCTGAAAAATACCAAAATTCTGGGACAGGTTCCTTGCACACTGTAGAATACCACCGGTAGGAGGAAATTCCCACCGGCAATGTATAATTTCCATCGGCTGCTTTTAGAGTTATCGGCCATTCACCAATGGCTGGTCGGCATTGAATTCTGCCGGTCGGCAGAAACTTCCTACAGAAGACAGTTTTGACAGCAACAGAGGACAGACAGTATATGGCATGGGATTTCAGGCACATGTAAGCATGGTCATGTTCCCCATCATGTATTGAACTCAAGGAAGCATGGCCCTCGATCCTTGAGCCATCAATTGTGCAAGATAGCCTAAGAGATCACGTGCGAGGAGAAAGAACAACAATGCAAGTGAAAAGGTGCATAACAATGCAACGAGTTCGGAGATCCTGAGGCAAGGCGCGTAGCCGCACATTACATCACTTATAGTATGAACGCTCCTTAACCCTCACACTTGGTTTGACACCCCAAACCAAGTAATGCAATGCATGTTATGCAAACATGACTCAAAAATACAACATGAAATCAAGGTGCAAGGCATGCCAAATGCCATGCAACTACTATGGCAAGTATGCAATGCTAGGCATGCAAGATGCAAATGCAATGCAAACATGGACGATTTAAGCAATAGGATTATCATGTTACAACACCTAATGGAGCAATCATGCAACAAACATGAGACAAGCATGCAATGGTGGACTAAAATGGTAAAGGGGCAGACCTCAAGGGCAGACCTTGATCCACCCCAAAACAGTGGCCAAAAGTGCCTAAAAAGGTGGACAAATACTCATGCCAACAAGCAAGCCAATGGTCCTAAGGTTAAGGCACAAAAAGGGGCACTTCACTTCCACCAACATGACCATTCATGGCATGAATTAGACAAGTAAAAACAGAATTTTAGCATGCAAAAATGGACTCCAAAACCCACTAATATGGTAGCTTAAGTGGCTCTAATGAGATGCATGCACCGAAACTCATTTCTAGGCATAAAAGGGCACATCCTCAAAGCATGAAAGAGGTCACATATGCAAGCATACAAACATGATTTATTGACTGAAATATGATCCTAAATGATGCCAAATCATGAGGATGGTCTAAGCTACGCATGCTAGAGGCCAATATGCTTAAGGCTTACAAGCCAAAACACAAAGAGAGGACACCAAACATGGAAAGCATGACTGAAACAGATGGCCAACAGACCTTAAACATGGTAAAATAATGCCAACACCTTCAGGAAATTAGGCTAATAAATGCAAGAATCATGACCTAAACACAAGATGCATTTCTAGGCCAAATAGAGGAATGTAAAGCAAGTATGTTAAGCATGCAAAAGGGCACAAATCCGACCAAAAACAGAGTGATCATATGACCTAAAAACACCCAAAAACCTCTGAAAAAGAGTCACAAGGGGAGAGGGGTGTCCCTCCCCTATACAAGACTTCAAACCACCTTCCTCACCACTGAAAATCCACTGGTTTTCAGTGGTGAGAAGACCAAGACACTCAAGCAAACAAAGCCTCACAAAGGAAGCACCAAAAAGGCCAAATAAGGCCTAAGAGGGTGAGTTTGAACTCAAACCACAAAACAACCTTAATGAAAGTTCTTAAGCATGAAAATACAAGCTTTTTTTATGTTATGCACAAAGCTTAAATCAGCAAGCAAGATAGGTAAAAAACTAGTGCAAGTTTGGGGAAACTAAAGTAAAGTGATTACCCTTGAAGAACCCTTGAAGAACAGTTGGTCTAGCCCTCTTCTTTTGATCAAAATCAGTCCAAAAACTCAAGAATCAACCCTCAAAGTGACTCAATCTCGGAGCAAGGTGTAATGGTGTGTGTATTAGTGCAAAAGTAAGGTAAAATACACTTTTGGGCTACCAAACACACACTAAGGGAGGAGAGAGGGGGAAATATAGAGAGATGATGTATCTATATGTATGAACTCTGGTTTTTCCTTTCAAAGTTGCTAACCTAGAACAAGGAGAAGACCTCTCCTCTTATAGAAGTCCCCTTTGTAAAGCTTATCAAACAAGCTTGCTTAGGGGAAATCCCTCCATACACGTGTATGGAGGGGAACAGAGTGGGTGCTAGCTATCACAGCTGGCACAAAATATGTACAAAAAGTAGATGCACAGTAATCGGCTGCTCAAAATTGTCATTTTGACAAAATGGAGTGCCGACCGGCAATAAATAATGCCGACCGGCAATATACATTGCCGATGGAAACAAAACACCAGTCGGTGGCCTACGGTCATGGCCGGTGATGTGTGGGGATGCCTCACAAGGCATTCTCTGCCCCTCCAAGGCAAAACACAAGTGTTTGGTGCAAAACCAGACACTAAACAGTCGAGTTCGGAGATCCTGAGGCAAGGCACGTAGCCGAGACCTTCAGGAACTCCAAACGACCACAAACATGGATGATCACCGGGTGCTCAAACGGTGACGTCCAAGTCTTGAGGACGGTCAAAAATGGGGTGTCTACAGTCCCCCCACGCGGGCGCGTCTACACTCACGTATAGGTAAATCTTCTGGAACAGTAGATGCATCTGATTTGCATAAGCTAGTTTCATGGCACAAGCAAGCACATATTGAATTAAAATAGTCAACAAAAGAAAAGCCTCAAAAGAATAAAAAAGACTTGACCCTTAGAGGAGTGAAGGCAAAGTTCTTCCTTAATCTGTTAGGCTTGTACAAATCAGGTGGTGAGAAGCTATTGGTTTTCAGCCATTATCTCCAACCACTTAAGTTCTTGGAAAGGCTAGTCATGAAAGTGAAGGGTTGGACTCTGAGAAAAGAAATGTTTGTAATCACCGGTGATTCCAATTCTAAGATTAGAGAGTGGTCCATGGATTGTTTTAACACTTCCCCAGATGCTCGAGTCTTCTTTGAGTCAATAAAAGCCTGTGGAGAAGGAATATCTCTTTACACAATTGAAAATCATCATCATCATTTCAACTATTTGAATTGAGTTTCCTATGTTTTAAGTTCAATTCCATCAACTATGCATGAACTTAGCACTCAAAGAAACATTTGTTTGTAAACATAAGTTCCGACAATACAAAAACATTGATTACTACAAAATTTAAGCTTTGGTAGTTGAGAGACATTGAATGACTCGGTGTGTTTTGTGATTCCTTGAGAGCAAATAACCCAAGTTACTATTGCGAGTTACAAGCATCAATGAAAAAAAATAAAATAAAAACAACAGAGAATAATTTCCAAAAACTAAATCCAAATAAAAGGATCACACATCCTAGCAAACATAATATATACCTAGCAAACATAAGACATAACAAAGGAACCATGTACATAATAATGACCACCTACTAAGAATAAAAGTTTTTAGCTTAACATTTGTGGACAATCTACAAACTAATGTTTGCCATCCACATGATGCAGTTCATATCAAGACACCACTTGCCATCCAGTCATAACAACACACCACTTGCCATCTAGTCATATCAAGACACCACTTGGAGCCAAAATTGATGAACCGCAGCAAGAGGAAATGAAATATTCTAAACTGATTTATAAAAATCTAGCAATCAAAACAAAGGAAAGAAAATAATCAAAGTGGTTTCATTCATATTAGTTAAGATAAGAGAAATAGGGGAAGAACAAAATGGTTTCTGACTTGAATGTGTATTCTCATGGTTGTAGTCTAATTTTGTATTGTGAAATTAGTTGAGTACAGAAATGATTGCTCAACAATAAACTTCCACTCCTATTAGAACTAAGATGGCGAAATTGATGTCCAGCACTGACAATGCTGTTAGAAGCTGTACTTGCTAAGTAAGCCTCAAATTGCTGACTCTGAATCCATTTCCTTGTTAAGTATAAATGTGCCATGTCTTCATTGTCATCTAAAAGATGTTCAATTTCATCACGCATTTAACACCAAACAACCATTTGCTCCACATTAAAAGTAATACAACGAATAAATGAAAAGGCATAGAATCAATCACATGTAACAACCTCAATACACATTTAGTATAAAAGCTACCAAAACATTATCGGTAGATGCCTCCTTAATTTGAACTTTGCAAGGAAATGACTCAATTGACAATAATGACAAGAGATAGGCCTCAATTAAAATTGACGAACTTCAGCTACACCTTCACAATTTTATGACGATTGATGATCCTTCAGTTGCATTTTATTGTGGGAATTAGAGCATATCCCGTCAAAAGAAGTCGATGTCTGAACTCTTTGCTATGTTCATACATGCACAATTCAATATTGAGTTCTCTGCAGTATATTTAACTGCTCCTGCATGGAATGGCACCACAAGGGGGTGCAGAAATCTATGACAATTGACATGTATTATGAAGCATGCCACTAAATTACAAGACTAGAGCACAAAAAGTGTGTGAGAGTGCAATTAGACTTGAACCATTAGAAGCCCTAAATTTCCCACTAGCTATTAGCATCCAACAGCACAAAAGTTGTACAAACCAGTTTGTAAATTATCTCAACACGCTGTTCTACTTCAATGGACCTCTCCTCCCCAAAGGACATATGATTCATCTTACCAAATAGCCACTAGAAGGATGCAGCAAACACATCCATAAATTCTTTACATGCAGATAAACAAAAGAGGAATAATGAATGCAACAAGACCCAATTGCCGCCAATTTAGCCGACGACTGACATCTACACTCCAACATGATTTTACACTTCATGCAAAGAAGATACACAATTTAAAATAGACTACTGGGGATACATGGGCTTTCCTCTTTTCTCATGTATAAGTTTTCCACATCAAAGTTGATAAAACAAAAATAAATAAATAACTAGCAAGTGCACCAACACCATGAAGTAATCTGTTGTAACTAGTAGAAAAAAGAAATCAATAATGTATGCCTTTTGTACCCGTGCAAGTAAACTAGTTAGATTTCTTTTCAAACTCCTCACGCGCTCAAGATTCTTGGTGCTAACATTCCTCACTAGTTCATCCAATACAGAATAAGCATTTCTCTCCAGGTCTGCTACACTAGAGTCCAAATATGTACAAACAACCTTCAATGCAATCTCGAGAACTTGAAACTCAAATGGGAGGTCACACTGCAAACCTTTAACGGCTTCAAGAACAGGTAACCATTGTCCCCCGGATGATAATTGCATTTCATTATCTTGTACATCCATTTGACCCCCTCATTGACTTTTAGACACGCTTTTATGAGGAAGCTGTTGCCGTAGCTGATCCACAAACGGAAGAACCTCCTAGCAGAGAGGATCAAGCAACAACACTTCTTCAGTTGTAACTATAGCCTTTATAAAGTCTAAGTTGACAACCATAGCTTTCTCCCTAGCTGCAGAAGGGAACAATACAAATTCACTCTTATCACAACCAATCATTATATACAAACGTATGAATCTATGCAGGTATCACTGGCAACAAATGAAAAATAAATAAATAAATTCCACCCAGATCATTATAACAGAAAAGAGATTAAGGGTTTTCTTGATGAGTTGATGCTGGACTACATGAACAGAAAAAAAAAAAAGAATCTATTAGGGGATAAAGAAACAAAAAGAGATGGGACTACGGGATTGTTTGGCAACCCCATTAAATGCTTAAATCTAAAAACTTTTGGTGACCTATTAAGTTTGTTAGTTAACACGTTCAAACTCAAAATTTTACATCAAAGAGATTCGACTCATCACTAAAGGATATATGTGATTTTGACATGTATTTATAACGGATAAACTTAACCTTTCAAAACTTTAGTACTTGCGAATATTCAGTACTATTAATGAGGTTTCAAAAGACCCGGAAGTGTGAGCCTTCCTATTCTATTGGGCTAACACCCTTCCATCCTTGCCTTATTTTCATTTTTAATTTTAGAAAAATCCATATTCCTACTCATTCTCCCCAGAACTCCAACTATAACAAGTAATCTAAACTCAAACTCATGTATTACGCCACTCACACTCAGTAAAAGCATCCATATACCCTGATTTCAATGGCTGGTTGTGCTTTATCAATTTTCGCATCAGAGCTCCGCCACAATGCTTCCATGTGTGAAAGATGCTACACAAGTAGATTGACAGAGTGATTGTGAGATGAATCACTCATCCAATTTCCACGACAAGAGGACAGGCAAAACTCAAGAGGTATGAACTATAAAATAATCAAATAAAAATACCTCAATGCCCTTGCAATAGTAACCAAACTACCCTTACTAGTAGGCAAGAGACTAAGACTCGATCAGCCACTCCCTGCAATTCCACAAACATATGAATCTCAAAGAAACAAAAACAAAAACAAAAACAAAAATACCAAGTAGCTATAACTTCAATAATTACAACATTATGTATGCCTTCAAAAAGTTCGACAATAGATACATAGAACCACACCTAGAAACCACCATTACAAACTGCCTCATCCAACATAGCAAATAATTGTCCAATCCATACCAAATAAAGCTCTAAAAAAAGTTTACAAGATAACATTAAAAGGAGTAATTTTCTTAAACGAAGCATTTTAGTCTTTTCAGTTTGTTCTATTTTTGTGAAAAGACCTTATACAAATCCACAAGCATAGTGATTAGGGAGTACACATAAGTTTGAAGCCCTTACTCATTTGTTCAAAGTGTCAATTTCAGATTAAACCAAAAGCAAAAATCACAATTTCCCTATAAATTACTGAAAATCGACAGAGAGGGAGAAAGACCTAGAGAGAAAGAGAGAAAAGCCTGTGATTTGTGGCCGAGATCGGCAGAGAGGGCGAAAGACCAAGAGAGAGAGAAACCTGTGATTTGCAGCCGAGATCGACAAAGAGAGACTGAGATCGACAGAGAGGGAGAAAGACCAACAGAGAGGGACCTGTGAAATTGAAAAACCCTAAACCCTAATTTTGAAATTGAAAAGCCTCAAATCATAACTTAAAACTGTAATATCTGAACATGTACCTGAAATTGGGTGGTGCGAGGAAGAGGTACGAGAGCTCCGGCCGGAGGGAGAGGTGAGATGGCTTCGTCTGCTACGTTCGTGGGTCTTCATCAATCGGACGGAGCAATGGTAGTCGCAAGCAAAGCTGTCGCTCCGAATGAATACTCTTCCCTTCATCTTCTCTTCATGTTCTTTTCTTTGTCTTCGCTCTTTCTCTCTCGAACACATCTCTCTCTGTCTCTCTTTCCAGCGAGTTTTTACTCTTGTTTTTTTTTTGTTTGGGAGGGAGTAGAAATTTAGGCCAAATTTTAGGAGGGAAGCTGTCGCTCCGAATGAATACTCTTCCCTTCATCTTCTCTTCATGTTCTTTTCTTTGTCTTCGCTCTTTCTCTCTCGAACACATCTCTCTCTGTCTCTCTTTCCAGCGAGTTTTTACTCTTGTTTTTTTTTGTTTGGGAGGGAGTAGAAATTTAGGCCAAATTTTAGGAGGGAATTTGAATGTAGGTAAAATTTTGGAAGGTTTGTTTCAAATATTGAGAAAAAATTTGAATTTGGAACAAAATTGGTCTGAATTTATACATTTTTTTAAGTTTTATTATTTATGTTTGTAATTTTACCTTTATTAAAGTTTAATTAATATTCTAAATGCGAAAATAAATTTAGGGAATTTTATGATTTTAATCCATAAATAATAATTATATTTAAAAATAATTAGTATTATGTTCTTAATAATTTATTATTTAATTATTAATAGTTATTACAAATAGTAACAAATTTAATTAATATTAACATTAAAGTAATTTAACATTTTAAATTAATAATTTAATAACATAATTATTTGAACTGTTATAGTTAGTTAATAATTTTTTTAGTCACTTACCTATAGTCCTGTTAACTAGATTTATTTACCTATAGGACTGATAAATTTATTAATAAGACTTAATGGGTAATAAGTCCCAAAAGTCAGACCTATTAGTAATTTATCTTAATTTTTTTTGTTTATTTAATAATTATAAAATTAAATTAAAACTTGGTAATATTAACATTAAAGAAATTTCATGTTAGTTACGTGCCTAACCAATTGCAAGAGCTACGGTGGTGATTTATGGCTGTGGCGGTGGCGATGGCTATGGCCATCGCAAGTAGTTGTGAGAGAGAGAGAGAGGGAGAGAGAGAGAGGCATGAGAAATCGTCGAGTATTATATGTTTGTAAAACATCACGTTAATCAGATATCGCTAGCTATGTGATCAAATTAGTTTTGTATAAAAAAAATAGACGGTGAAAAAATAAACGATTGACATAAATTTGATTCGATGAGATAGTTATCGATATCCGATCAACGTAATTTTTTACAAACATATAGTACTCGACGACTTCTACACATTGAACGGCTCAAATTATCAAAACGGGACCCGTAATAGGCCTTCATGGGCCCAATGCTGCCTCCAATCTGATCACGGACTAGAGAGAGGCCAAGCCCAAAAAAGATATATTATTTTTTATTTTCATAAATAAATAATTGAATATCCATAATGATTGTCTGTCACCATAAAAACTTTGTCTCATGACAATCCAGAACCATGCAAACTCTGTCTTATGATTGTCCATCACCACTATTGCGGCAATTAGATTTTAGATCTACTGACACTCATGTAGATCCATCGCAAGCCTTTATTTTTATTTTTTTCTACCTTTATCTTTATATCTCTCTGTCTCTATTTTGTCGATAAAAAAATTAAAATTTGTGGAAGCAATTGTCAAAGGGTTCAAAGCATACTTTTCTCTCATTGAACTCATGATTCTTTTGCAATTCTATATCTTTGTAGGCCTCTCTTCCGCGCCAAACGAAAATGTCCCATACCCCCTTTAGTATTTGACCTTCCTAAAGTTATCATAAGGTATCAATTTACTCATCTCCACTAAAACTAGCATAAAGTCTTACTTTACATCCCCCTATCTGAAATTGTCACAAACTATTACTTTACTACCTAAACTATAAAATGATACAATTAAACCCTTCAATAAATATACTAATTTAAGGCTAAATTTAACTATTTGAAGAGAATGAAATTTCACTAGTTGAAGATAATGAAATAATTATTACTACCAAGTTTTAATTAAACAATATTAAAATTTTTGTAATTACACATTATAGAATTAATTAGACAACAAATTAATTAAGAAAAACAAATTATCATTAGCTAATTAAAAATATAGTGACAATCACTTGTTGCTCCGACAAAACCACTGGTAACATCTCTCTCTAACTCATAAGTTTTCTATTTACTCGCTAGTTCGTCTTTGCCTTTAATTTTATAATTTTTTACTTCTTTACTAGAAATTTCATTTTTTTTTTAATAATTTCACCTAAATATTAAGGTTAAATTCCAATATTTAAAGAGAATGAAATTTTACTAGTTGAAATAATGGTATGTTTTATGATAACAAAGAAAATGATGAAGGTGGTGGTAATAGCAATGGTGGTTTCATAATGGTGGTGGTGGTGGGGTAGTGGTGGTGCTGGTGGTGACAGTGATGATGGTTGCATCAATATTAGTGATGATTGTAGCAATTGTAAGGTTATAATGGTGTATGTTGATGCTTGTGTATAAATATTTATAAATTCAATTAGCATTAAATAATTATGTAATTTTATGTGAGAAATTTGACATAATTTAAATGACTTTTATTATACAAACTCAATTACAATTGGATCCAAATGGATTGAACAAATGGTCCCGCCTCTTACACCAACACTACCAAATTATGAAAATGATTTTAAATAATATATACTTTGCAAATAAATATAAAAATTTTCATTTAGAATTATCTCGAGATTATAAAGCAGGGTATGTCGACAAACATGTCACACCCGTACCGGGTAGTTACCGAATTATGAAATTTTTTTCCGACTCAATTTTAAAATTACTATTAGTTAATCAAGTCTATTGAAATTAATTAGGGTAATAAACAAGTTACAATTACACGCGCAAACACATAGTATCCAAAAAATTTTCGCTAAAAGTCTTTTGTGCCATCTTATTTACTACTAAATTAGTCATGAAAAGCCTTTGTTTGCATTTTTCGCTATCAAAATATTTAGTTGCCAAAAACTTTATAATTTTTTTTAATTAATTTATCGACCGCCTGTATTTATTCCATTATTAGTGCACCATGTATATAAATAAAATAATCCATATACTGATCAAATTAGCAACCATTCTACAACATGCACACATTTCACTTTCAACTATCAAAAAAATTCATATAATTATAAATGAAATACAAATTCCATACAAACGAAAGTATAATCCAACATCAAAAATATAATTCCACACATAACAGAGGATTAAACAAAATCAATATCCAAAAGTTAATCTGTACCACCAAAAACTAATTTGTACGATGCCAAAAGGTAATTTGTACCATGCCAAAGAAGTAATCTGTATCACATCAAAAGGTAATATGTACCGCATCAAAATTAATCTGTACCACGTCAAAAGCTAAGCTGTAACACGTTATAACACTACTAAAAAAAGTACTTTTTTGTGACGGCTACAAGCTATCGCAAAAGACCTTTTGCGACGGCCCATGCAACGGCAAATGGGGGTCGTGAATGTGGGGGTAGTAAATACTTTTTGCGACCACAAAACAATAGTCACAAACTATTTGCGACCGCCTAATCTACCTATGGCGACTAATGTGAAGCCGTCACAAACTATATATATTCTCATATATATGTATATATATATATATTCATTTATTATATACAATAAATGTAAAGTGATATTTGCAATACTCATATATTCAAATATTATTTTCCCTCAACAAAATTATCTTCAAAAAAAAAAAAAAAGTGTGCATTCAAATTTTAGCTTCTATACATGCAAAACAAATATGAATCAACCATCCTTACAAGTATTTATACAAAATACTAATATATTTGAGTACTCAAAAAAAATAAAAAAATAAAAAAAATAAATCTCAGTTTAGCTCTCAATATCACCCGCTCAATCATATCAACTACTCCCTCAACATTACCTGCAAAAATATACATCAATATATTAGTTGACTAACTTGGATGCCAAACCAAAAATAGATACAAAGAGCACATTAATTGACAAAATAATCAGCTCCAAGAATATTGAAAAACTACTTGAACTCGATTATCTTCTAATTGAAAAATAACACCCTGCAATAGCTGGACAAATCAGTGATGCTAATTGCGTAAAGAACACCCTACAACAGAAATTTTAAGAATTTGAGTTAGGAATTTTTCTAAGAGTAAGCAACTGTGCTATAGCACCAGTTTAACTACAACTGAATTCATAACACAGAACTCATAAATTAAATGCACAACAAATAAATGATCATATAGACACTACAGGAAATGACAGTTTTGGCGACCAAAATATTGGTCGCCAAAAGTCCAATTTTTGGTCGCCGAATGTAATTAGCGACTAAATTTTTTTGTCACCAAGTTCATTGCCTATACCCTGTCGACGATAGTATTGGCGACTAAACTATTTTTGGTCGCCGAAAGTTAAACATTTGGCTATTAAACTTTGGTTAGTCGGGAAAGGTGATCTTTTGGTGACTAAATTATTGGTCGCTCTTTTGGTGACTGAATTATTGGTCGCCGAAATTGAACTTTTGGCTACTAAACTTTGGTTAGTTGGCAAAGGCATCTTTTGGTGACTAATAAAACTAAATTAAATTATTAGAGACTAAAATTTTAGTCACTAATAGAATACGTACATTTAGCGACCAAACACTTTAGTCGCCAAAGGATGTCATGTTTTTAGTGACTAAAATATTTAGTCGGCAATTAAACGTCCCTCATTCTGATTTGTTTTAGCTACTATGTGGTTTGGTCACAAAAAGCCATTTGGTTATTTTTTGTTACTAAATTATTGGTCGCCAAAACATTTGCTTACATTTTTGGCTACCAACATATTTAGTCACCAAATACTATATTAATTTTTATTTTTTTTTAATTTCTGAATCACCTGTATCCATTATTAGTGCAACCTATACCCTGTATAAACAATATAATCCATCAATACTGAATATATTATCAACCATTCAATGTGCGCACATTTCACTTCCAACCATCCAAAAAATTTATATTCAACGTCCAATTCTAAATGTAATACAAATTCCATGCGAACCAAGTATAATTCAACCCTAATAATTTAATTCCATACATAATAGAGGATTAACCAAATTTAATATCCAAAAGGAAATCTATACCACACCAAAAATTTATTCTGTAC